GAGTTCAAAACATGAAACTCTCAACCAACTAAGATTCTCTCCTAAAATCAAAGAGAATCCCACTAATGACAGACAAAGATCTCGGTTGAGATCCTACAAAACAGAGAATAGTCCTATAAATATTATGTAACACCTCCATAGAGAGGCATGAATAAAAAATCATAATTTCGAGATATATCGGATTATAATGCATTTGAGCAGTGAATAAGACAACAGGAGGAAGATCCTCTATTAAGGAGTGGACTAGCCGAGCTTCTGAGCCGATAAACCACTATATTTTCACTGTGTGCACCCCTTTAATCTCCTTAGTATTTCGTAGCAGCATCACACACAAGCCTTGTAGCTCTGATTCACACTCATCACACGTTCACCTGCATTTTTTGCTCATTAACATGGTCATACACCATCAATATTGTATTTGAGATGAGTTTTTTGGGATACAAATTGGACAACATGGCATTACTTTATACTGTAAGTGTGAATGTGACACCTCACTTTGTATCATTTATTTGGTATGCCAAACATTGCTCCTCCGGCTTTTAGAAGGGTGATTCAAGTCTGAGGCAACGCACTGAGGATCGGAGATGACACCCGTCCCGTTAGCTACATAGGTTACGACTTGGGCTTATTTATGGGCGACATGGCTTCAATGGCTAATAGATTGATCCAATAGACCTATATTTTAAGGAAAAACATTATTATTTTTTAAAATTATTTTATATTCCAAATTTTTAGGGAAGGCCCATCTAAGACCCACTAGAGCTAACTTTGGGCCTAATTATTTTTTAAAGGGCTGGCCTAAGATTAGCACAAGACTGGCCAAACCCAAGTAACCCGACACATGACAAGCTTGGGCATAAAAATCAAGTCAGACCAGCTCATTGCCGACCTTTACTTTTGCGTAAGGGAGATATGGCTGTAGTACATAGGGTTGTCAATGCATTGAATCACATCGACTCATGTTTTTAAATCCTTGAAATAAAGTTGTATTAAGACAGATTTAAGTCATAAAGGGGAAGGTGTGCGAACTAAAGTATTAGTGGCTCATGCCACTCGGCATGACAAGCCAACTTTCCCACTCGGCAAAGGCAAGGCAAGCTTTGCCAGTCGTCGGCAAAGGCAAGAGAGGCAAGGCGAAGAGGCAGGTAGCTTGGCTCGCTACTGCCAGTGGCTTGCAAGGCCACTACCAGCAAGCGAATGGCCTGGGAGGTCCTTCTTTGTCCACTGTTGGCACAAAAAGCAACTATCGATGAGTCCTACTTAATAAAGGGTCAATCTATGACCTTGAGTCTTAATCTAATATCACTTTAATTATCTAGGAGCTAGTGATGGGGCACCGAAGAGGTAAGATCCAAGTAAAATGCTACTCTAAGCAACCAAGAGCTAGTGATAACGACTTATGACTAAGAGTCATAATCTAACTTTAGCCTGAAGTTCTAGGAACTAGTGATGAGATTGAGTCAATCAACCTAGAGTTGAGATTTTATTGGGACATATCTTCCTATTGCTATAAATAAAGGTCTTCGGATACTAAGTAAGGGATTCAATCTTAGTTTATTCACTTCACACTTCTTTTTGGCTTGCGATTTGACTTAAGTATCGGATTTCTTTTGCCTGCTTCCGACTATTGGTTCACTTAGGTGTTCTCTTGTTTTGTAAATTTCATGAAACTTCTTCAACACCTTCGTTGTCCGTACAAGAGATGGTTACTCTTTGTGTGGAATTATTTTTGGAGAGAAGGGTTCTTTGTGGCCTAATAAATTGTGTCAATCTTATTGATAGGAAAAATAATCTCCCTTGTACAGAATTATATGCTATCATTTTATGCTTTAACTTTTAGTCTTGCTGTTGGAATCATACCCTTACATATTGTGGTGAACTGGTCATCATTCATCATTGAACCAAGCCGAAAGCAAAATTCCTGGCCCTGCCGGCTAAAACGTGAGCTAATCAGAACAACATTGAGTGATTAAATTTAATTTATTGACATAATTTATTAATTTAATTTTTTATAATTATTCTGTTAAAAAATTTATTCATAATTATTAAATTGACAATGAACTCTAGTATTTGTTGAAACTCAATCAATCTAATAATTGTGATACATTAAATTAATAAATAAATTAAATTTAAATGATATAGTACACAACAAATACTTAAACAAACGCCTTGAGATGCTACGCATTGACTTGGGATAATCACCACGCACGCACATGCTAACCTGTTAAGCATGTGCAGCAGCCATGTTACAAATTAAGCAGATCATGTGACTTAAGGTTGGATTAATCAGATCATTTGATTTAAGTTGGACCTTCAATGATTATATAGATTAGTCATTAGTGCTGCAAAGTGTAAGCAACTCAGGCAAAATGATTCAGAACCATATTATAGAACTTGAATCATCTAGGCCCAGCTGAATATTCTAATTAGTGCATTAATTTACCGTCAGGATGTCATATTTGCTCCCAAAAATTCAAAAATATTCGAAGGTTCTGGTCCATTACTTGCAGGAGTTTGTTGTGCACACAACACTAATAATTATATGACATGTTATATTCACTGTATAATATTGTTCGTTTTTGATTTAAACTTGCGCAAATTTAAAAAACGTTATTTAATAAAGTGCAAAATTCATACTTATGTTCTACTTCACAACCATTTCACTAGTCGGTATAGGATTGGGTTATCACAATTTACCCCCTTAAACTCAAACTTCCTTGTTTAGGCTGTGACTTGTCCCGAGTGATGTGACCTCCTGGGGGATTACTCACACCACACTAGTTGCCATCGTCCCGTTGGACCAGAGTGCATCGAGGGATTCAGGGGCTTAGGTGACCTTTGCACCACAAGAGTCGATGACTCCGATACCAATTATTACACTCCAAAACTCTCATGGTATAATATTGTTCATTTTGAGATAAAGTTGCACGACTGAAAACACATTGTACAATAAAGGTCAAAAGATCACAAGTTCACACTTATGTGCTATTTCACATCCACACCAACCAAAGAATCAGAGAGCTATCGACCTAAAAATTAGCTCCCAATAAACAAATTCAACATGGTGCAAGCAGTTCAATTTACAATTTATTTACTTTTTTGGTAAATGTTCCATTTACAGCTTCACCCCTACTACATAAATGAAAATTCAGTTTCCTCAAACACCTCATTTGAGAAGAAAGTCATATTTCTGAGAGAACAATCGCAAATGTTTGACCATGAAATCAGAGTTTATGAGATTCATATAAAAGGATGGAAAAAACCTACACCTTTCTCTGCTAATAGTCAGATTCTGCATATAAATGCTTCAAGCCTCCAGATACATACCTAGGAAAGCCTTGTGACAGCCCTTGGAATGGAATCTGGTGGTACTGATTGAGAGATTATCCCACTGATACTTCCAGGGAGAGAGGGTGCCCTATAGTTCTCACCCCTGAAGAGACACAATAACAAGAGGGACACCTCTGGGGTCCCTCAGATAGCCACCATAGAAACAGAAAGAAAAGCTAAATACAAAAGTCCTTGAATTACTCTTAAACTTTTTGGCCCACTAAACCAGAAACAACCTTATTTCCTTGTGCCTTTTTGCACTTTTCCTATTACGTTGATTTGTAATACAAGCAGGGTGAAATGTCCAGTCAATCATAACGACATGCATAGGAGGAGAAAGCACAATTGATCTCTATCTAGTCTTCATCAAAAAATATGCTATGTAGAAGCTAAGAGATTGATCAGCGTTGGTAAGTAGAGATATTTCCTCATTTCTGCTGAGAAAAATTGAGCTTCGTAGATCTATATTACGCAAGGAAGCACATATTCAATAAAGGGCTTTTTATGCACAAAATTTGCATCAGCCAGTTAGGTACTGCAGAGACAGAAGGGGACTTGTTACTTGTTATTGGTGTTGCTGGGACGCATCAACATCAATATGATTTCAGAGAATTGAGGACGCTTTGAAGGGCAATTGTTCCAGCATTTCAGCATCAGAGATCTAAGGATTTGTGGGCAGTCCTTCGGTATCTCAGGTCTAAGGCCACAAGCAGCTATCCCGACTGCTGCCTGAACAGGTGAATATGCAGAGTATGCCGTCTCGCCAGTCACCATTTCCCATATAACCATGCCAAAACTATATGCATTACTCATCCATGTCTCTGTAACACTCTCTGGATCACCTGCAATGATCTGTGACAGAGAGAGAAGAATACACATAATGATTGAAAAGCTTATCTAAGATTCCACAGAAGCTATCGACATGTATCTTGGAAGATCACCTTCAAGGATGAAAATAAACATTCAGTTAAAGTTGTATGATACCCATACCTTTACTTTCTCCTACACCAAGTGCAGAAACACAGCCCTCAAATGCCTTAACACCCCCCCCCCTCCTCCTTTCCTCAATAAAAAAAAAAAGAAAAAAAAGAAAAAAAGGGCAGGTGCTTAATAATTGAAAGGTTCACTAGGTGGGCTTCATTGATTAAACCAAATTCATGGAAGTGCTGCAGCCAAGAGTTTTTGGTTAATGGTAAATATTGTTGTGCCTAGTTAAAGTCATATAAAATTAAACAACTATTGTGGTGTAAAGCAAAAAACAATTATCAAGACATTTGGTGCATGCTTAGGCAATGATGCTATGATAAGTGACATAAAGTTCTCCTTGAGTACAGTGCCCCTCATAAAGCCCTAATTGCATACATTGAATCAAATTATTATGTTTGAATTAAACTAATAAATGTGCCATCACGAAGAGCTTTACTATTGATAAAGGTTTATCCAGGTAAGGCTATTGCGATTAATCATGAAAAGCAAGATATGACTACCAAGCACATTACTAAGAAGGGTAACAACACTTGTTCTTATTAGACAATAAACAAGGCTATTATGATTGAACTTATCCTAAAAGCAATATCAAAAACAATTTTTACATTTACTGCCTAGAGTGCCATGGTGAAATGATCAATTCAGCGGACCCCTAAGGAGCATTTCCACCCATTAACAACACATTTCAAAAATAGCATTGCTTCAGATCTTTGAAAGGGGGATAACAGTGAAAATTGGGCTTATTTTCATATGACGGATAAAAGCAGAAGCCACACACTTCAAGTGTTGCACAAAGGAAATGAAATGATAGTATCTCCTGTGTGGTCCTGTCTTTGCTTCAGAACGTCAGCATAATGCGATCCAAAAATGAGATGGGCCAGATGACGAAGCCATGATCAAAACATTAATCACCTAAATGTATGTTTGCATATCTCACAAAAATGGGAGAAATTTCTTTGTGTCCATGGATAAAAAGTCACAAATCCTCGCATGGGATGAAAAGAGTTTTACAAGGACTTGTTCAAATGTTTTGGGAAGCACACCAAATGATCTAACTAAAGAGTAATGCAGATTTGCCTTCAACATGGATAGATTTAATACAGTGAAAAGGAGATGTATAACTAGTAAAATGGTCTTGATAAACATGAGAATAGTGAAAATGAGAAGGTATTGCAAGAGGGAACAAACCTCAGGAGCTAGCCACCGATAACCATCTGTTTCGTATTCCATAGCCTCACCAAGACTCTTACAAGCCGCGATTATACCCATGTCTCCCAAGCATGCATTTCCATGCTTATCCAACAAGATCCCCTGTGTATTGAGATCTCTATATGCAACATCATGATCATTCATGAACTTGATCCCCTCTGCTATATCAGCAGCAATCCTTATAACTTCCTTAGTCTGCAGCTTTTTATTCTTCATCATAACTTCGTGAACTGATCCACCCTCCATCAACTTAGTCACAACACACAGCCCATGATTATCATCAATGCAAACACCATAAAATGGCAAAATATTCTTATGCCCACAACTCATCAACTCCAACAGATCTTTTCGGAGCTCGAACTCATAAGAATTTCCCTTGTCACACCCCTTGAGCTTCTCAATCCCAACCCTTCTCCCCTTGTAAACTCCCTTGAAACTATTTGGGGCAATATGATCGATAAACTCAAGATTATCAGAGTTCAACAACCACTTCCCAATCTCATCCCCACCAGATTGCACTGTTTGCCATTCGTCAACTGATATAACATAAGATGAAGTGGGTAAAGGCATCTTAAGCATCACCCTCGGATTCGAATTCTCGATCCCATTTCTATAATTCTGTTCACCATAATCCTCTTCTATCTCTCCAAGATCTCTCCTCCCATTATTTTCCTCTTGACAACCACAAAGCCCAAACGGAAGTTTAATTGGTCTCGGCCTCTTCAGAGCTGATTTTAATGCATTTTCGATCCGAGCTTTAAACATTTTCTCTTGCCCAGATTGAACCAAAAGCTTAATAATTCCTAAAGTGAACCCCTTTTTCTCAAAGATCTGTATTTTCTTGCAACAAATCGAAGCACTGTCGAGTGCACCGGACATTGCCGGCCACGAAATCGACGAGTTACAAGCGAAAGTAAGCTTGAATACGGAACCCTGTACTTCATCATCAGACATTTCTTGAATCAGTATTGCAGGTTGGTCTTCGATTGACGCTTGCTCAATCAATTTAATATGTAGAAACACATCCTTCAACTCAAATCCCGCCTGTGCATAACTGTCCAATTTTCACAAAATAAACAGAAATTTAAAGTAACATAAGAGACCAAATGTATAACAGTTTGCTGAAATAAAGAGTAGAACAGCTAATGCTCTGTTTGGTTGCTGAGAAAAAAAAACTTGGAAGCTTGTCTTGAGCAGTCATGGGAACCTTTAACGGTTATTGGACCCACTCTTTCGGTTTTCATTTCTTTTATTACGTTTTCTCGGGAAACAAACAGAAAATTCAAGATTTAGTGTTCAGCGACAACAGACCTGAGTGGTAACGAATCGTAATGCTTGCGAAGGTTGGAGACAAGCTTCTCCGGGAGCTGAGAACCAGGGTACAGCTGAGTCAAGTTCCGTACAACGCTGCCCCAGACGTGCTTACGACAGCTATCGGCACGAGTCGAAGGAGGCGGAGCCGTTGAGTCACGAACCGAGTCGAGGTTGAGTGTGTTCTTGAGCGACGCGATGGCCTCGGACACGTTTCGGCTCAGCCTCTGCAACCGCTTCTGCATTGCCGTTGACTCTCTAACTCCGCCGGCGGCGTTGGTGGAGGAGGAAGAGGAGGTATTTTCCGGTGGGCCTTCCGATCTGTCTTGGGTTCGCACTAAGACTTGTTCTACCATGTCCTCGTCTGTGCTGGCTCGGCTGGACCAGCATTCTAGAGCTGCAGCCATGGCTCAAAACAGTGGACTCAGGAGTGTGGCTAACTGAGATCAGTTACAGGCAATTTGTGTGAGCTTTTAGAGAGCGAAACAGAGAGAAGCTTGTGTTAATATGAAATTTTTGGGGGTGGTAATAGTAGCATTATGCTTCCGGGAGGGGGATGGAATGGGGGTAGTTTTTCTGGGTGGTGACGGTGAGAGTAATAAATGGATGGGGGAGGGGTGGCATTGGTGAGTAAATATTGGGTGCGACACTTAAACTATCTTAATATGTAATTATTTAATAATAATTCACCAAATAAAAAAAATATATCATATTTATTTCAATAACTACCCACTATATAGGATAGTATTCATAAAAGAAAATAGAATCAATGATAAAAAAAAATTACTGCTTTTAAAATAATTTGTACACGTGTTTATTTATTATTAAAGATTACACCACCTAATAATATTATCTACCTTCCTCGCAGTGATTGAGAGTGTTCCGGGACACGATGCGATGATGATGATGCTGCCTGATGGTGTGGTGGTGACTGATGAATGTGATTTTTGAGGGAGATAGATAGTAATGAGATGTCGTCGGAGACTGGAGCAGTGATGGGGACGTGGGTCCGAGTGGTTTCGTGATATTTGGCCTTTTGGGGCCACAGTGGTCTGGCCTGGTCCTTCGCGGGACCCTTAATTTTCATGTCATCTGATTCTGAAATATATTATTTAACACTTAATAAATAAAGTTGCGAACGTTATTGTCTGTAGCTCAGTGGAAAAAGGCTCTCTGTATCAACCCGAAAGTCGCAGGTACGACCCCTACCCGATGTTCCATTTTTGCTTTAACTAGTTAGCATTACGTGCAAATTTATCATTTTCTGTTTCAACCTTGTAGCATTAGGATGATCATTCTCTTCGGCACTATAAAGTCAAAAAAGTAGCAATGAAAGCAAATACTCTTCGTCTATTTTTGCATGACCCCAAACCAACAGGATAAGACATGTTAACTTGTCAAACATAATGTATGGAGTTTATTTCAATGCAACTAATGACGAAAAATTGAATATGCTAAAATCTAATCGATTTACGTAGGCTTATTTAGAATATGAATCATATGATATTCCATACTATGAAGAGATAACTGAAGCCCTCATCTCTAAAGTTAATTTGAAGCTCACTTAAGCAACATTTTAATTGGATCTATTGCACCATTTTTTATGTTGTAACAAATTATAACATAATTTAACAACTAAATTTGAATTGTATATCCAGTAACTGACATGTCGGTAAGTCATATAACACGAAAAAAGGAAAACATAGAGACTCTCTAATCGAATATGTTCAAAGTGTTTGAAAAAAAGAAAAAGGCAAAACTTATTTTGTCGGGTCTAGAAACATAGTCCTCGTCACTTAAGTTCATTTTTGCAGTGCATCTTGTCAAAAAACAACTGATATTAAAGAATGTTAAACAATGGATGAGCACCAAAAATCCACGACTTACAGAGAGAGAGAGAGAGAGAGCAAATGAAAGAATATCAGAATAGTCACATCCTTCCATTGTGCTGTGAGGTAATTAGAGGTTGCGGATGACAGTTAAAGATAACAAACCTGAAATTGTTGTGTGTAATGCATTCATTTATTCTAGTATTTTAGATGCTTGGTTTACCATTAATAAAAGGAGTAAACACAACGGCAAGCAAACTAATATGTAATAAAATTGTATTGATTCAAGTAACTAAGCTTTTCTAGTCTAATGCATTTCAAGCCCATTTTAAATCTTGTTTTATAAGCAAGCCCCTTTTAAATCTCAAATCTAGATTTACACAAAGCTTCAAGGAAAAAATTGAAGAACCAACATTTTATGTTAAATGACACATGTTTTAAAGTTTCCAATTCTAAAAGTGCATTCATATGCCCTTGCGCGTAGTAAGGCTAAGTTCTAGACCACCTACATATTAACAACCAAAAGAAGGCTAGAACAAAAAATAATCAGAGTAAGTATTTTTCTAAATTTAGAAATAAATAAGAGACATATAACTTTTTTGTTAAAGTTCTATGAATTATCGGCCCTTGAGAGCCAAGAAAATCCAAAAAATAAAGCTCTTCAAATAAAAAAGAGACTCTTATTTTATTATATATATTGCTTATAATTTAGTAGATATACCAGATATCTTTCGTACAACAACATGTGTGACATGAGATGCAAATGTCAATCCTGTTGAAGTGTTCATCCATTCACCAGGAAGGAACAATGAGTCATTTCAAAACAACATCGCTTCCTTCAACCACTGGCAAAAATGGAAAAAAAAAAAAAAGAAGCAACATCAACAAAACCAATGATCTGAAACTTTGCACAAGTATATATATTTAGACCAGTAATAAAAATGATTCTTATAAACAAATTCACCTCGGTTCCATAATTTTGTAATATAATTAGTTGCACTACTTTTTTGTTGATTTTCCAAAATAAAAATCTCAGAAAAGTCATTCATAAATGCCAAGCCGTTGATGCTTGGAACCCAAACTTGATTCAACTTCCAACATTCTCAAGAACTTAAGTACATATACGAAAACTTATTTTAAACTATAACTACGCACATAAAAACAATGACCATGGCTGCAATTCTGTCGATAATATGCAGTTAGCGTCCAAAATGAATGTGTAAATAATGGTTAACAATCAAGAAATTTAAAGTAAAGAAATAAAGAAAACCTATACCATCATATATAAGACCTTCTCATAGAAGCTCGAAAATTACAATTAACAATCAAGAAATTTGAATTATAAAAAAAAAAAAAAAAAGGAAAATTTATACCATTGTTTATATTACATGTGTAGGAATCATGCATTGGATATAAAAAGAAGTAAAAGTGTCCTAATGTATCGTGAATGGACTCACTACCTAAAGAATTAACTTTTTAGGTATGAATGAATTTTAAATTGATATATTGAGCCTTGGATCATTTGGCTCCCAGTCTCCCAAACAACCATCATAAGACCTCCTCCTAAATGTTTGAAAATTACATTCCGATAGCACAGCCGACTCAAGAGGAATAAGGAGATTGAGCAATTTCATCTAGTCTAGTACTATCCATTACAGTAAATACATATAGCAACTTGAAATTTCACTATTTTGTTCTCTACGTCATAAATCCAACCTCAGAAATGGAAATATCATATTTGGACAAAAACTAATCTGGTAGAAAATTTTGACGGATCAAAAACACCGTATAATCTTGAATATTTGTTACTCTAAAATCTGTTGTGATCGATAGAATGCCTCAATCGATAGATAGTTCGCAAACAATTTCTTATGGATAGGTTCAATTGCCTCATTTTAGGACTTTCTTGGATAAAATTTTAAAGAGATGAACACAAAAAATGACGAATTAATAAAAGTAAATTTCTTTATTAATCCGATCGAAATGGGTTTTAATACCAGAGATTGAATTAACAACCTTTGATTACAACACTAACTACTTCCTAAAACTAACTTTAATACTAATCCTAAATGCCTTGATCGTGGGTCTTGTTGGGGGGGGGGGGGGGTTATTTTTTCACTTCTTTTTTTGTCCACCTTTTATAATCACTCTCTTCGACAATTCCACTGTTCATCAACGGTTAATTGGTCTGTAACTATCAGAGAATTATTCTCTTCTTTCAAACAAGGCCATTGTTGATCATTTTTCGCCTTTTCTTCAAATTCTTGGCACATGGCAACCCATTCCTGATCATTTCCTGGCTTACAAACTGCCCATGCATCAAATGTTCTTATAATTTTATATTTTGAGTCCAAACAATTCCCCTTTATTTAATTGGGTGTATCTTATAATTAATCCAAGTAAATGAACAGTCACATCCGTTGTTCTTCTTTCAACATCCACTTAAAACAACTTTCAATGGTTGGTTCACTTCATTTAAGTAGGTAAGTGAACAGTCAATAACTGCCAAAGACCACTAAGCCACTATTTAAAAGGCCTAGTCACTATCTTTACTTACCCAAATCCTCACCCATTATGTTCTTTTCCGATTCACCCTTGGCAGTTTCCCCTTGGCTTATCTTCAAATCTGAATCTTCCCTTTATCTTTAATGGTGTCTAAGCGGAAAGTAGATCAAGGCATTATTGTTGTCCCTCCTTCGAACACACCACCTGTCCTTTGATTCTCTATTGACCTTCGATATGTCACCCGAGACCTAGTTGATGATCGAATTCTAATCCCCTTTGAAGATTCGAGTTCCAACTTCGCCCTAGGCCCTGCCTTTAAATCTAGCATTTTTCAAGCATTATCTTAGCCTTACTTCATTTCGCATGGAGAAATCTTAATGCTTCATTGTCCTCAACTTCGATGGAAGCACCGGGATCAACGGCTCGCCCCCTTGACAACTTGGGTTAACCCAGACCATCGATAGTTTGACTGGGTAGAACGAATGGAAGTACATTTCTCTGAATAGTGGAAAGAGCAAATGATTTATAAGCAAATCAAGTTCTCCACTTGCCCACTGTACATGAATCACTGGCTCATACGTGTAGCTAGTTGCTTCTGGTCAAAATCCTGCAATGACATGTTCTTCCTCTTGGCATGATGTCCCCCTCAATTCTCGATATCGTGCATTTAACTGGCCTCTTGTCGACTAGGATTGAAGTAACCGCCAATCTAAAACTTGACTGAATTTTGATAGTGTGACGCCCCTAAAAACGGGGGTCATTAATTTACCGTTGACTACCCATCAACCTGCGGAAAGACCCGTGAGTGTCGCTTGATTCGACATCATGCTAATATTATTCCATTATTCGAAATTTTAACTCACACGAGTAACCCGTGTTCCTTTAATCATATATCCAACCAAGATCCAATATACCTCATACCTCATGCAATGCCCATTTGTATCATTGGAACCAAGGAAAACAAAGTCTAAAAACATGGCACTTTAGTTTTAAAATTTCAAAATTTTGGAGAGAATACTGGTATTGTTTGTTCACTGGCCCTGTCAGTATTGGTATCGTTTGGACTGTACCGGTACAGTCTGCCTTTCAAATTTTTTTTCAAAGTTTTGGATAGAATACCGGTACTGTCTGCATGCTGGACCAAACTGTACTGGTTGTAAAATCCCGGTAGATTTAAACTTTTATGAATAAAGGGTAAAATGGTAAATTGTCACCATGATTCGGGTTGTAAATCTGAAATTTTTTGTAACTCGGATGACAAAACGGACCTCACCGTTGGATTCGTCTCGCGAAATCGAGTTACCACGTCAATTTTCGTCGAATTCTGAGATAGTCAAATTTTTCACGTTTTACGGAGCGATCGGGCTTCGGGTGACCCTGTACACGAATTTTTTTATAAAATTTTAAATTTTGGGCAATAGAATAAGATAAATTGAAATAAAAATATTTTAGATTTAAACCGGGGCGAGATTTAATTGTTCGGGACAAAAACGGACCCGGAATTAAAAATGGACATGTGGCCAATTGTGGACCAAGTGTTCTAAAGTATAAATAGGGGGAAAAATCAGATTTTTCCCCCATTGTTCAGCATCCTCTTCAGCCGATAGAAAAGAGAGGGAAAGGAGAGGGAAAGCTTCAACTTCTCTCTATGATCTACATAATTCTAGTGCTCAAATCCGCTTGGACCAAGAACAAAGATCGTTCTCCTCGTCAAGGGCTACGTCTACGTACCAAAAGGAAGTGATTTCACCGAATAATCAAAGG